TATACACACACACACACACACATACATATATATATATACACATACATATACATATATATATAAAATCAAATTTGGTATTAGTGTAAATGCCTTCTTTGTTCTTTGTTGTGTCATTCCCTTAAAGCATTGCTTCTTCATAAAGGCCTGCAATTTGAGAAAACAAAAACTAAGCATGTTGCAAAGTATATTCTTTAGCAAGCTGGTCCCAAGGAATCTCATGAGTGTTAGGATTCTTAACTATGTCCACTCCTTTGAGAGACTTATGTGTATGTCATCAAATTCAAAGCTCTTAGAAATCCTGTCTTTCAAAACCTGTCCAATTCAAGGCTCTCAAACTTTTTTTTAAATCTATTTATCATCTTCTAAAATTCCACCAAACCCTTTTGGGGAAACACTTCTGGACCTAATTACAATTTACATAGAACATTTTTCATTCTAAATGTTAGACTAGTGTATGCAAAGAATTTTTTTTTTTGAAAAGTGTATAACTGAAAACATCAGGGGTAGATTTGGGTAGACTTAAGCAAAGCTGGATCTAGAATGTTGTTTCTTTTCTTTTAAGAACATGTGGATTGCTTCACCAATTTGCATGTCATCCTGGCACGGGGGCCATGCTAATCTTTGTGTGGTTCTAATTTGAGTATTTGTGCTGCCCACTCGAGCACAGGAATTTTGTTTGTTTTGTTTTTGTCTCTTTGTCCTTCTTGCCTTCTTAGGAAAGCAAGTGGGAGTGAACTTGGCCATCGGCATTTCTAGGTTTTCATGTTACCTGCCTAGTAATTTCAGGGGAAGGATAGAGATTCCCTGGATAGTTGTTCTGGCCAAAGAGACTGACTCTAATTGGTCTGGCTCAAGTCATGTGTTTCACCAGGAAACTAGTCACTGTGGCCGGGAGACTGGCACTGATGGGCCACACCTGGTCACATGGCCAGTCCTGAGCCACCTGAACCACGTGGACTCTCGCTAACTCAAGGAATATTAATGTGATATCAGAAGACAAGGGGATGGCTGCTGGGCAGGCAAAAGCAGCAGATGGTCCCATCACTAGTCTAAAGCCTGAAGGGCATGGATGCTCTGCTCAGCAAAGTGTCTGTAACTAGGATGGGACCTGGGAGGGCGGGGGGCAGGGGGAGAGAAGGAGATCTGGGTGCTAATTTCCGGTGAATTGCTTTTATGTATGAGGAGCCCCTCTTGGTTTGATAGACCAATGCTGTCAGTACAGGAGCATAGAAGCTCAGCAACCATACTAAAAGCTACTCTGAACACATAAAGAGTTATTTCAGCTTGAGGTTCAAGGTCTGATGATTAATAAGCTTTGACCCAGCCCTTGCCAGTTGGAGCATCATACCATGCGGAAAGGTAACTAGTTCAATTCTGATCAGGGCACATACCTAGGTTGTGGGTTTGATCCCCAGTGAGAGCATGTACAGGATGCAACTGATCAACGTTTCTCTCATCTCTATCTCTCCTCCTCTCTCCCCTCCTCTCTCTCTCTCTCTCCCTTCTCCCCCCCCTCTCTCTAAAATCAGAAAAACAAACCTTTGAATGAGGATTAAAATAAATAATAATAAGCTTTAGGCCATAGTCCCATTTTCTGGCTCAAACTCAGGCTTGGGGACACACCTCTCCCTCTCCTGACCAGGCGGCAGCTGAGCTCTGTTTAGGACGAGCGTGGGTTAAAGGGCACGGTCAGTGCTCACGGTGACCTCAAGTGACAGGGCTCCAAAAGGGATGGAGCAATTTTTTAAAAAATGTCCTTGCAATTCGCACATTGACTAACTTCCACACGCCTGCAGCTGGAGGAATCCTAGGCGGAGTCACATTGACCAGGTGGGGAATGAGAACACTGAATAGAACTAACAGGACCCCTCTGGTTCCAAAGAACTTTCGGGAATCAGCTCTGGGACCCTCAAGCCATCACAAAGGGAATACTAACCATGAACAGGAAGTGGGGGATGAAAGGCCAGAGCAACCCTGAAGGCTGGCACCCTTCAGAACGGAAGAGGCCCAGATCCTGCTCTGTGCTCCAATGGCAGCTGAGAACAGGACAGACGATTGGATGTGGCCTGGGCAGCAGGGCACTCAGCGCGCAGGATTTCAGAGCCCACATGGCTCACAGGAGCCTCTATTTCAGGAAACCCCAGGGAACCAGCTGGCCTGGCTGCTAAGATGTGGGTCCGAGAGGTAGTGAAGGTCCCTCTATTTTCTCCTGAGGCCGACGTTGCTTCAGGAGTTCAGAGCGGCTACTCCCTCCCCGTCCCAGAGTCCGGGTCTTGAAACACCCACCGGCTGCTTTGGTGGACGGAATGGAGCAGGAAAAAGATGTTGAGGGGAAGGCAGGCAGCGTGCTGGCGAAGGGTGCTCAGGCTATTTTTCATGGGTTATGGTCCTGGTGAAAGGCAACATCTGGAATTCTTGTGTTCCCTAAGGTGTGAATGCTGGAGGGGCCAGGTCTTTAGGTTTCATACATGGGGATTAAATTGTGTTACATCCGGTAGTTTATAGAATATCATCTGTCACCAGTTTGCCTGGGAAAGGACTTTCCTCGTAGCAGGAAATGGAAGTAAGAACAGGTGATGTTGGGCACCACAACCCTTCCTCTAGAGTCTAGAGAAAACCATCACCACACACAGACACACACACACCCGACAAAGAAGGGTCAGTGGCTGACTGTATACAGAAGACATTTTAATCACGCAGGCACAGTTACATTATGGATGCAGCTGAACAGAACCGTGTGTTTCCCATCCAAGGACTGCCTGTTCACAACAGCACAGACAACTGACGTGTGGAGGTTCCACAGCCATATTTACTATCAGACACAGACACGTGGAGCTTGTCAGAAGCTGTGATCACAGGCAGGCGGCGTGGGAAACAGGATTTTGTGTAGATACTATGCAAGGATAACTGGGTGCTGAAACAAACCCGCTGTGCTTCTCATGCCTTTTCATTCAGCTTTGGAAGAATTGAAGCTTTAGCGTTACTGTGTCAGCCCAAAACAGCAACACTGACCTCACCACCTGTAGTACCATTCTTTCTTGGTAGTTATTTATCGGTCCATTCAATCTAGACAACCTACGATGGTCTAAAGCAGTGGTTCTCAACCTTCCTAATGCCTCAACCCTTTAATACAGTTCCTCATGTGGTGACCCCCAACCATAAAATTATTTTCGTTGCTACTTCATAACTGTAATTTTGCTAGAGTTATGAATCATAATGTAAATATCTGATATGCAGGATGTATTTAGGCGACCCCTGTGAAAGGGTCATTCGACCCCCAAAGGGGTCTCGACCCACAGGTTGAGAATCGCTGGTCTAATGTCTAGTCACTTCCGGTTAAAATTTTCCTATCAGAAGAAACCTAACCACTAATTAATTATCCAAATGAATTTAACCATGCTCTGTGCTGCTCGACATCTATTCCTTCCCTAGCATTGCTCTCAGCCCAACCTAGTGCTGCCATGGAGGTGAGTATTCACTGCCAGTTAGGGCTGTGGTCTGGGTCACAGAGCTACCTGGGTCACAGAGCTCCAATGCCCCGCCCATCCACTAGAGGTCACTGTGCATGCACCAGGATGGTGGCCACCAGGTTCTGGTTTTCAAAACCTGCTCAGATGCTCCACACAGATAAGGGAGGAAAGGATTCCAGGAATACCAGACAGAAAAATGCAATAGTGACTGTTTTCTAAAATTCTTAGCCCTGAGCCCTGGTTGTCACAAATCCAAATGAGACATGTTCCACAATGTAGGATAGTAACTTTCAGCTTTTTTATAATGGCAAAAAGCAAAAGATCTGATTTTAATAAGTAGCAATCATGGTAAGGACTTAGGCATCCTTTAATTTTTGGAAAACTGGTTTGTCTTAATATATAACAGTGGAAGGTATTTATAATTAGTCGTTATCTACACTGATGGATGCAAAGGTCTTTCTTTTCTAGCTGGAAACACATTGTGGGGCTATAACCTGATTAAGACTGGAAATCCATGCCACCTCTCTGAGGTGGTGTTCTCTGCACAGCGGATCCTTGGTTCCTGAACGCCCATCAAGGTGCTTCAGGCACAGGCATGGCGATTGCATTGGGTTCCTATCCCATTTTCCATTGTGCAGATGTGAAATGGTACAAATGATGGGCTCTCATCCCAATGGAGATCCTACCAACCCCGTTGCCCTTTGCTACGTGTTTCCCAAAGCCTCCCATTTGGGTTGATGCATACAGGGTCATAGCAAGAGGAGGAAGCAGTGACTAGGGGGTAAGTCCAAGCACATCGGGGCTTGAATCAAGACAAATGAAAAGATGGAAGTTGGTAAACGTGCAGGTGGCCCCTGAGCCCCTGGAGCCGAATCTGGTCATCTTGTCAACCCACCCCTCTCCTTGTGTAATTGAGTCAGGGCAAGCACTTAGAATTTATAGTGTTCAGAGGAAAACAAAATAGCATAGACACGGTGTAGAGAATGTAGAGAAAAGGAATCCAACACACAGAACAAAGGAGCTGGTTTTAATTCTTAACAAAAGGATGGTTGCTGCTCAAGTAGGTAGGCACTGTTTCACAGCTCCACCAGAAATGCTGGGCCTATCAGCTTAGTGAGAAGACTACTATAAACGCTGAGTTAAAATCAACACTGGCTTCTACCCATGCCGAGATGCCCCAGTGCAAACCCCTCCTGGAAAAGCCTGGTGTAGCAGGTGGCCGCAGCTGTGACTTCTGCCTACGTCCACATGTCTGGTTTCTCAAATGGACCAGTCTGGTCTTCCCTATTGCCAGCTTAACACCACCTTGGTGAGGCCCACACTCTCCATAAAGAAGGACAAGGTTGGCGGAGAGGTTAAAACAGTCCCCTGTCAAGACTATTCACTTCTTGACTCCCTAGGCAGTGGCACCTGTAGGTGGCCCAAAATAGTTCCCCTGCAAAGATCTTCAGGAGAGAGGAGATACATTACATGCACATCTCATGTAGGTGAATTAACTTGGCGATTTACAAATACATAAAGAAAATATAAAGGAAAACAGTGAGACATCAATCAGACTTTAAGTAATTAGGTGATCCTACCTGCCATTCTTCAGTGAGCACAAGGCATTCCCTTAGTTCCATGACCCCTAACCTCACAGACATGTACACATCCACGGTGCTTAGTGTAATTCTACTCTATAAACGCATGTGTAATTTGTTCAATGTTTTGATTCACCTGATATCAGCCAAAAATAAAGGTAAACAGCAAAATCAAAATGAACCAAAAACGGGGACTTGTTTCATTGTTGATGGGCAGCTCACTGTCCTGGCTTCACAAAGACAAGATACCCACCATACATTATGGGTAATTTCAGGGAATTTTCAAGGGTAAATTTTACTGTTCAAATCACTGCACATTCTAACTGAGACTGTAACTCCCAAGTAAAACACGCCACTGTACTGCAAGGTGGACATGCTATCAATGTGACAAGTCTTTCCTGATCCCCTCCAGATGTGGGGCTCTGATAATCTTAAGAGGACCATGAGCTCTCAAGGATTGTGATTACTGGAAGAAGACAAGTGGTGTGCTAATGAAATATCTAACAATGGCTTGCTGCATGGGTGGGTGGGGGAAATGCCTTGATTTGTAGCATTGGCCAATTTCTTTAAAAAAAATATTTTATTATCCTTCTACAGAGAAGAAGGGAGAGGGATAGAGAGTCAGAAACATTGACGACAGAGAAACATCGATCAGCTGCCTCCTGCACATCCCCTACTGGGTATGTGCCCCCAACCAAGGTACATGCCCTTGGCCGGAATCGAACCTGGGACCCTTGAGTCTGCAGGCCGACGCTCTCTCCACTGAACCAAACCGGTTAGGGTAACATTGGCCAATTTCCATGGTGTAAATGCCTCATGATCACCAATTTCAACTTCCCAACTTCATGTCACTGTACAGGGTGTTGGGACAGATGTGCACAGCAGGCTCTTGCTAGCTGGGATAAGCTGATGTGGTGTGTGACTTTGGCATAGCACTGGGAGGCCCAGGTAAGTCTGTTTCACTTTAATCCAGTCCCACTCATTTCTTCCTGATTGGATTCCTTATTCCTATTCAATCAGGCTGGGGGATTGCGACCTCCTTATGAAGTTTCCTAGCTCTGAAGAGCCTCACTCAGCCCCCAAACACCTCACTCAATCACCCACCTATGTTCATTTGTCCATCTGTCACAGTGTAACTAGGAGTGGAAAAATAAATCTACATCCAAATAGTCCTTTAGAAATAAGAATAAAAGCTGTGTAGGACAACAGTGGTTTCAATAAAAAGGCAGAGGAGAGCTCATCTAGTAGAGCCCTCTCATTTTAGAAGAATAAACAGAAGCAGAGGAAGTGGTTAAGTGACTTGCTCATGGTCACATGGTTTGTTAGTGGTGTAACCAGTTCCCAGGAGCCCAGGGAGCTCTTCATTGTCTCGTGCTGCCTCCCTCAAAAGTAGGCATTCACGTTTTCTAAGGTGTGTGAGGTGTGCGGAGGGAACTACGTCGGCTCATCCTGCTGTGGAAGTCAGAACTTGCTGGCCCGAGTGGCAGGAAATGTCCCAAGAAGAAGATGTTGACGACTCACAGGTTGTTATTCTGGCTGTTCTCTTCTTGTGGGTCTTTGGTCTGTTCGAAGGCTAGGTTTGCTTGCCTTTTATTAAAGTCCCTTTTTACTCTTAAAAGGGGGAAAAAAGAAAGAGGGTTTATTCACTGAAAATAAAGAGAGTTAAGCCTTTGAAATGATAGCATTAAGCCCAACAATTTATAAAGGGAAACCTTAAGAACATCATAGATTTGAAATATTTAAGTCCCGATTTCTCTGCCCTTCCCATCAACAGAAACTTGAAGCTCATTTACCTACTACAATATTTGAAATTTCTTACAAAAAATAAAAAAGGTTCCATAAATTCCCAAATGTTCTATTATCATTTTTGTAATTAGAAAGAATTAAAAAATGTTAAAAAATATATTAAGGTTTTGCAAGTAAAGTCTGGCTTGAAGCACTATCATTTGCTGGGCTACTGTTCTTACAGGAGCTACTGACTTACTTTTCCCTGTTGAAAATGATGAATTCCTTTTGCACAGATTCAAGGTGCTCTTGCAGAAGGCACATCTTCCAGGTGAACGTTGAAAAAAGAGTAGAGATATAGTTAATAGATCAATGAGGGTCCTCAAGCAGCCAACACCTATTGAGTGTCTGTTCACTGAATGGCCCAATCAAAGAATGCATCCTTAAAACAGATGCTATCTCAAAGTTTGTAGCAGGAGTGAGACCCCAACCAGAACAATAGGGCAGCAAATAGGGAAGAAAGAGCAAGAGGATAAAATACATCAACACACTGCTCCCCACAATGAGCCAGCAGGGAAGACTTGGGTTATGGTTCATGACTTTGATGTCTTTCAGCCAAGCAGCCCTAGAGGAAACCATGGCTGCAAGGAGGGTGGGGACAAGGGCTTATTGAGCTAGTTACCTGCTCACCTCTAGTCTCCTGGCCTTCATGTGAAAGGTTTGGAGGTTCTACTTGAATTTAATGAACAGACTCGAAACATCACTTCACACTGAATTCCTATCAAATGTTCCCCTCAGCGACTGTGCTGAGGTTCATGAACTAGACTTCAGGGGCAGCAAACAGAGCTGTCCGTATTTGTGACTTCTCACAGACATGCAAACCATTTGCTTTGCTGTTTCACTGTCTAGCTTTCAACACCAAACAATGACTTGGCCATAATCATGAGAAAACTGAACCTCAAAAAAATGATACTCATCGGGCCCAGGACAGTGTCAGCCCCAGATCCAATATTTTAAAAGTCTGCAACGAGGTACTTCCAAATTACTAGGAATTAGAAAATGCTATATATTCAAGTACAATTTTAACACTAAAATATTACATAAATATATAAACAAAATATTACATACTATTTTAAAATATATTTACATAAAATTTTGTTTATTTTATATATGTATATGTTTATTTATATACATATATGTATGTACTTACACATTAAGTACATATATAAAAATATGTGTATATGTAAACAAAACACATTTATATAAACATATATCCTATATAATAAAGAGGTAATATGCAAATTGACTGCCACACCCTCACACAAGATGGCCGCCCCCATGTGGGCACAAGATGGCCAGCAGGGGAGGGCAGTTGTGGGTGATCAGGCCTATAGGGGAGGGCAGTTGGGAGTGACCAGGCCTGCAGGGGAGAGCAGTTGGGGGCGACCAGGCCTGCAGGGGAGGGTAGTTGGGGACGACCAGGCTGGCAGGGGAGCAGTTAGGTGTCGATCAGGCCAGCAGGGGAGCAGTGAGGGGGTGATCAGGCAGAAGCAGTTAGGGGCAATCAAGCAGGCAGGCAGGTGAGTGGTTGGGAGCCAGCAGTCCTGGATTGTGAGAGGAATGTCTGACTGCCGGCAGTTGGACATCCCCCAAGAGGTCCCAGATTGGAGAGGGTACAGGCTGGGCTGAGGGACACCCGCCCCCCCCCCAGTGCATGAATTTTGTGCACTGGGCCTCTAGTGTATCATAAAGATGATATCTTGTATTTGCTACATTTGAGGCCTCTATCCAGCTTGAGTCAAACTATATAGGGACATAGAGAGGGGTAATTCTGGAGAAGCCAGTTAGTGATGAAGTGAAGAACAGATCATTAGGAGGAAAATGGTCAAAATGCAGAGCAATAAGCAAGATGGGTTGTGGCACAGCTAAGCGTTCTTTGCAGGGCCCTAGAAAACACTTAAGGCTGGGGATCTGGCAGGAGGCCAGCCTGTGAACAAACAGGATGTGGACTTCAGTTGGCCTTTAAGGGTCTAGTGGTTCCTGAGGACTAGAGAAATGAAAGACATTGAGCATTCTAATTTGTTTGTAGAGCTAACGAGACTATATAATCTTTGAGAACAGAAATGTCATTGAATGCAGGAATGATACTCATAACTACCTCTGGTATTTAACATAGGACCTTGCAGGTAATAGGTTCTCAATAAAAGTAGCCTAAATAAATGGATGGAGGGATGGATGACCATTAGTTGAGTGGGTAGGTGGATGGATGGAAGGATGGGTGAATGAGTAGATGAATGGGTAATCATTAGAGGCAAAATTCTTTACCACTGTTATAAAGCATAGAACCACATGTATAAAATCCTACTGAGTTCCTATAAGTTGTTGTATTGAGATATGAGCTCTAACTCTGACAGAATAATATGGTTAAAAAATCAACTCAGCCTAAAATCCAAAAATAGTACTTGACCATATAAGAATTCCATCATTTCTGCTCTCTATTCTGCTCGCTCTGGTAGCATGAAATTTTGCTTATACCAAAGAGTAGACACCACCTCTAGGGCTGGCCGCTGCCAGCAGAAGTGAGGCCCCAAACAGCCATGTGTATACAGACATACTAGTTCCTCAGAGATATTGTGGGTTCAGTTTCAGATCACCGCAATGAAGCGAGTATTGCAACAAAGCAAGTCGTAATTTTTTTGCTGGTGGAGAATCTTGCCTTCAATTTGTAAAAAACACAACATCAAAGCAAAAGGCAAATAAAACGAGGCATGCCTGTGCTTTGAAACCTAGTCACCTGGCCTGGGCTTGGCCCACTAGAGTCTCTCCCAGAAAATCCACAATGTTGAATTGAGAGCTGGGAGAAGGTACTAACTGAATCAAGTTCATGACCGAGCTAGAACATCCACAGGGAAATGTTGCTGCTAGGATGCCCAGGGCTGCCTAGCTGTTCAGCTGCTCCGCGCATTCACAAGGCAGCAAAAGCCAGGTGCTGAGCTGACCTCCCAGTAGAAGCTCTCAGAGGAACTGCAGCCATCCTGAAGGTTCCCACGGGTTGGGCAGGGACCTGCTCACCTGAGAGGAATCACATTTCCTCATCTCCTTCTCCTTCTTTGCCAGACGCTTCTTTTTCTTATGAAGAGGTTTGGACTCCAAAATCATTTCTTCAAGTTCAAAGGTGGGGTCGCAATTCAGCCTGCCTTTCTGCAAGGAACACAGGTTGGCTCACTCCCTAGATCCCTGTATCATTCCAAACTACACCTGAGCGAATGTGGAGACAGACACGTGGGCCTAAAGGAGCATTCCAAGGGTAACGAGCTAGGATTCCCATGCTAATTTTGGATAATGTATTGCCAGCATTGTTTTTCACATTCATTAGTTTTATATTTTGTTTATTTTTCTAAACTCCCAATGAGCCTTCTGGGGGATTGAGTTGAGAGGAAACCAATGAGAATTATTTTTCTAAAGTTTGACCCTTTGGGATCTGGGTCTCAAAGTTATGCTCTAACGATCATGTAGACCAGTGGTTCTCAACCTTGGCTGCACATTAGAATCATCTGGGAATCTTTTTAAAATCCTGATTTCTGGGCCTCATCCTCCGGAAATTCTGTTTCTTTGTTATGGGGTGGGGCCACAACATTAGTAACAAAGAAACAGAATTTCCAGAGGATGAGGCCCAAAAATCAGGATTTTAAAAGATTCCCAGGTGATTCTCATGTGCAGCCAAGGCTGAGACCACTGATGCAGACCATTAGAATCACTTGAGTTGTTTGCTCAGCTTCCCAGTTCCCCAACTGCACGCGAGAAAATCGCACGTTTCACAAGCTCCCCACGTGATTCTGATCCACAATAAAGTCAGAGCTGTGTGTGGAGGGCCTCTTGGTGCAGAACTGATGGTTATTTGTCGGGGTGCAGGTTGTGGCCGCAGCAGGAGGATCCGGTGTCACCTGTCAGCCTGGTACCAGCCACCCCTACCGGACTTGGCAAAGTGGCCAGGTAAGCCCTTGCCCCCACCCGCTGGCCTCTCCATAAGGTCGTGATTCCACCCCCAGAATCCCAGCACACGCCTCTCACTGAGCGCTCTGACCTGGATTCCGGCTCTTACCAGCGGTCTGCGGTCGGCCACAGATGTCCCCTGGCCAGGGACTCATCCAGTGGGGATGATTTCCCTTCGGCTCTTAGTCATTACGAATAGAAGAGGGATGAACGGTAAAAAGAAATGCCTCACTGGGTAACCCTAACAGGTTTTAATACTTTTGACTCACAGAACCCCAGGCACACAAATTCCTACATCTTTGGAATCAGAGAAAGCATCATTTTTTCAATTGGCAGATTCCTGGAAAGGACAACAGCAGGTCTTTGAGGTTTTGTTTCATTATAACGTTGAGGAGACGTGTAGGAACTTAAGCCTTGTTTATATCAGCCAGCCAGTGGTGAAACTGTTTTCATTCTATGCCACTTCTCTTAAAGTCACAGAGCCTATTTATGACATTAAGTGAGGACTGTGTATTAGGAGGATTAGATCTTCTTTGGAAAAAAAAAGCATGCCACAACAAGTGGTTAGAAGCTGGAACTCCAGACACAGATAGAGCTGGATTGGAATTCCCACTCGGCTACTTGGTAGCCACGGGACTCTTTGGTGGCCAAGTTACCTGTGTGCGCCTCAGTGTTCTCATCTGTAAAATGGGAATTTGGGCTGTCTCACAGCACTGATGTGGTTATCTAACCAGACCAGGCGCGTCTCTGGCACACAGGGCGACATGCACTGCATGAGAGCTATTATTGGTTTGTTAGGATTGACTCACGTTAGGAATGAAACCTGGAATGAGCCTCTTCTGTAAAACCGCATCCCAGTTCACATCACTCATATATGGGAAGTTCTGAAGGTCAGACAAGTGAGAAAACCGGTGGTCTGGATTAGGTTCAAGTAGCTGCCAAAGGAACAGAAACATTAAAATCACGAGGAAGGTCAAAATGGGGCCAAAAACCCCCACACAAATTCCCTCTAAATGTTTTCAAGTGTAGGATTGAAGGAAATAAGGCATCATCCCCCTTCCCTGACCCCATAAACAAATAATACAGATAAGGCCCAGTTAGAATGAATTGTAGGTTGTTGTTTTTTTTTTGCAAGGTGGAGTGTGAAAACAGCTTCAACTGTGGAGTCAAATGTCTCTTTGATGGTTGATTCCCCTATTTTATTAACTATGGTCAAGTTTATCCTCTAAATCTCAGTTTACCCATCTATTAAAAGGGGATAGTAACCTATTTCATAACGTTGCAACTAGGATGAAATGAGGCCATGTATATACAGTGCTTAAGAGAAGGTCTGTTCTTATTAGCGGAGGAATGCGCACACATTTTCACAAATGAAATTCATTCCCCACTAAAAATGTTAGCTGTTCTTACAACTAACCAAAAGATATTGGGGGTGACACAGAGAAGATGTAACTAGGTAACTGTTATAGTTCTGGGTTTTATAAACTGGGATTAAAGATTTTTTCCCCCTTAACCACTCCAGAGCCAAGGACGCCACATCAACCCTGTGGTTCTAATGGGAAGTGGCACTTCCACCTGAGAATTGTTCTGGAGGGGATAACCTGGGATCACCAGGGTAGAAATTTGGGGTGAAAGGCTGTCTTGAAACTGAAGAAAATTTGCTTATGGGAAATGACCACCTGTTCATCTTTGACATAACCAATGGCAATGTCCCTATTCCAAAACAAATGAACTTGACCCCCAAGGCAAGAGACACAGGTTTGACTCTTTGACCTGCCATCACCTGTGCAATTTTCTTTCCTGAATAAAGCCCACCCATCCTCTTGGGGTCCATATTCTTTACACACTATCATTCGACACACACTGTTGAGCTCCTGCTACAAATGAGATGAACCCACTGGCCATGTGCTGAGAGGCAGTAGCAATATCAAATTGCTACAAATATTTCTGAATGTTTCTTTCGATTTCTGTACTTGTCATGAACCTGAAGAAACAATTCATGGACTTGAACTAATCAGTGAATCACACTGAATGGTCTTGGTCTAAGGGAGGGAGCTGGAAGAGTTGGGGAGGGGACAGTGGGACTAGCATGTGCAAAGGGCCTGTGGTGAGAGACGGATATGTGAGAGTGAGATGGGGGAGGGGAAACAGAAGAGAAGAAGACTAAAGCGGTTTATGTGTAATGGGGGCAAAAGTCCAAAATAAGGCTTGAGAGGTAGTTAGAACTTTTACATCATACAAATTATTTTGATCTTTATTCTAAGAACAATGGGAAGACAACAAAGTGTGCTTTGAACAGATCATTATGGGCAGAATGGAGAACAGAATGGAGTGTGTAGAAGTGCACAGGGCAAACCAATGATAAGACTTGATGGCCGTAGGGTTGGGAAGACAGTCATGGAGATGGAGGGAAGTGACAGATTCAAAGAATACTTAAAAGGTCAAATTACAGAACTTGGTGATGGATTGGATATGGGGGTGATGAATGATTTCCGGTTTCTGGCTTGCATAAGTGATTGGATGGAGAGGCCAGTCACTGAGTTGGGAAGCTTGGAGAAAGTCCAGGAAATACAGAGAGACCGAGACCCCATTTCGGGCACGCCGAGTGTGAGGTGGCTTTGGCACATACAGGAGGACATGTGCATTGCCTAATGAAGCCATGCGTCTGAAAGCTGTTGGCTGCGAAGCCCACGCTGGAAATGCACACTATCACGGCCGCCTCCAATACTGTGCACTGACTCTAACCAGAGCGCATGCTGCTGTTTTAGCGTTTCTTTTTGTCATGCAATCCTCCTCCTTCTTACCTTTCTAAGAAGTGACACCATTTCCTGCGACCAGGCAGAAGGGTAAGGCACAATAGCCGTCTCAAACATGTGTGCAATTTCCTTGCTGGAAGTACTGGAGCGAATATGATACGGTCTCTTAAGGGAGAGAGGAAGGAAACGTCTTCATGTTTACAGGGTAAAAGAAAAAATCACACACACATGGCTTTGCAAATTTTTCAAGTTAAACTTTCAACCAGGAAAATCTCAGTATCATTTTCTTATCCCCTCTGTTGCCGTGTTGGCATATAAACATATGGTCCATCCTGTGTTGCCAGTTTTGAAATCTCAGAATTTTTAAAAGTTATTAATCATTCTGGGTCAAACAAAACATTTCTGTGGGCTAAATCCACCTCTGAGATACTAATTTGGAATAGTTTTATAAGGTAACTTATTGAGGAATTTTTATAAAACACTGTACATGTTTCATAAAACTCAGTAAATTGAAATTTTAAACTCTTGTTAGATTCTAAAGAGATCCAGAGTTTACCGTGCACCTCTCTTCAATTGTTTGAATCATAATGAATACGTTCAGAGTAGAAAGTTACCCAGAGGACTTCAACCCTGTCCCAAAAGTCATGCGTCCCTGGCTCTATGAAGTGGGGTGGCAAGTTTTATGATGAGGCAAAAATACTTTTACTTCTGAGAAAACCAGGTTCTTCTATAGTTTTAACTTCAGTGGGGTAAAAAAAAAAAAAAAGTGGTTTATTACAGTTTTCATAAATGTCCACAAGAGGGCAGCCTTTACCTATAGTAATTCTATTTCATAAAGGAATCCGTGCTGGCATTTTCTCTTTTATGTGAACTGGGAGCTACTAAACCCCAGGGGTTTATACTATACTCACATTTTCCCCAGGGGTCCTAGCACCTAGTAGGTGCTTATTACATGCCTGTTGAATGAACAAAATTTCCATGTTGGTCTATATCCATTAGTAGGACAGCTAAAATGGATATGTACATGTATCAAGGGTCTGCCCTTTCGAGATACTTAGTAAATAATTGTGGACTGATGAACCAAATTGGAAGAAATGGAGTAGTTTATTTTTTCCCTGTTGTAACTCAGTATTAAAAGGTAATATAATTGAGTGTTTGAGCTCTGAAGGCAAAAGAATGTGAGGACTAAACGGAGCCACTCAATTTGGATTTCAATTCTTTCATCTGTAAAAGGAACCACCTCATGAGATTGTTGGGAAAATTGAATGGCATAATGCATGTAAAGTTCTCAATAGAGTGGCTAGTACATATTAGACACGATATAGGAGAAATATTTTATGATTACTGACGTGGGGTAAAAAGGTGGATATAAATGTGAACAGTGACTCATCCTACAGGTGGAGAAAGGCTTAACGCACACAGCATGCCGATGTCCATTCTCAGGGAACCATGAAGTGCTAGGAGTTGACCTCCCAAAAAGACGACTGGCCCAACTTTATTTTTATATGCAAAGTCTAAACACACTTGTCATATATTTTCTTCCCTCAAGATGCAATAAAGGACCAATGCTAATTTTGGTCTCAATAACCATATAATGGAAATAACCCATGCCACCCAATATCAGAAGATGAGTACCAGGTACCTTATCACTATTATCAGTGCTTACTGACTGCTGACTAGATGAAGGGCACTGTTGTCTCTACTGGGATTCATTCCGTGTAAACCATTAAGAGTCGGGGCATGTTTGGCATGGTAGGGTCCAGGGTTACATACGTGTGCAACATCAATATTTTTTCTAATTTCCTTCTTTGACTCATTGCTGCTTCTCAACCTACTGTTTCTTAGCCATCTAAAATCACAAATGATTTAATAAGTGAATAATTAACTGATGAATGCCACAAGCAACTGGCTTAAGAGTGTTTTCATTTATTGGAAGGCCGTCCAACTGATTTTTAATATTTTTAAAAAAATCCTCATGGCCTATCAACTTGTTAAAAATAATCAAACTGCCTTTCTCTTCTATGACATTTTTCTAGTTCTAAATTTAAAAATCCATGTTAATTCATGAACTACTAGAATTATATATTTCCTCATTTACCAAATATTTATTGAATGCCCAGTATGTTTCAGCACCTCTATTGGGCATTGTGGATGAAGAATAACAATGAGACAGACATAATTTCTATGTTGGTGGAGCTTAACATCTCCCTAGCGAAACCACAAATAGTTATATAGACTGTACACACATGCTTCAGTAAATGTAATTCATGCTATAAAGAAAAATTACAATGTACATGATAAGATGCATCAAACAATTCTAAGGCAGCATATTAAGAGTGAGAATATAAAGAATGGATGAAAGTGGAAAAGGTAAAAATGTAAGTGGATGTTTTATGATTATAATATTTCCGGAGTACACAGCAAGAATTGTAGCTAGGAATGTACACTTAGTGCAAAACTCTGCATGTTCCTATGAAGCTAATGCTTAGGGAAAATACAAAACTGGGAAAGCTATGGGCCTTGCCTTTGCAATGACAGCTGGGAGACAATGCAGGTCAATAGCTGTGGGACCCGTTCATCAAAGCCATGATCAAGCTCAGAAGCCACGGGGATGTTTTCAAGTACATTTGTAAATGTGGAGACATGATTGTTTGGCACACTCTCTGTGGGTGAGTCGTGTTGATAGTCATTATAAATGCTGTGTTTCATTGCTTCTGATGAGCTCTATTTGGAAACATAATCCCATGCAGCCTGCTTGGTGATCCTTCCCGGGAATGTATGAATTGATTTGTGGAGACTTGTTCCCCAGCCATTCACTACACACATAGGTACCGAGTTAGAGTTACCACTAAAGTATGTAGGATACATGCTTCGTCTTTAATGAATTTACCATCTCATAATATAGAAGAGATACAAACATCAATATAGACATACCTGGAAAAATGTATAAGGGCAACATATTTACAAAATGGATTTAATCCTAAAAAATAAAATGGACTTATATGTTTTGATGTAGAAAGTGCTACATTTTATCTTAAGTGGAAAAAAGTCTCAACAGAAAGACAAAGCATATTTTACTTTTGTTAAAACAACAACAATAATGTATCTATGTGTATGTGAAAATAGATTAACCTTATAAAAACAGAAACGGTTTGGAACTGAGTACGGTGACTGTTAATTCTGAAAGGTGGGACTGGAAGGTCAAAGGAGGGTTGAATTTTTAATTGGGAATATTCTTTGCCTTAGTGGATATGGTTGATTTTACCTTTATTTTTCTGCTTCTCTATATTTTCCAATAATTTTAAATTCAGGTTATAAGAGAAGTGAAGTGCATAAATATTTGGGAAAGACACAGATCACTTCAGCTGGAGACCAGAGAAGGCTTCTCTGGAGAAGGGGCCGAGAATGGATAGGGTTTGAATAAGAAAGACCTGGAGAAAGGCCTTCCCCACAGAGACATGTGGGACAGTCTAATGGCATGGCTTTCTCAGAAACGACCAATATACATTGAATACAAAGATGCTGAATGGTCCTGCAATTAAGGCACATCCTTAACTTTATTCAAATTCAATTTAGCAATTTCCAGTACTGTGAGAGTGATTCTTTAAGAAGACCAGGGTTTACCTTGGCAAATATCTTTATAGGCAAAGGAACATGAGGTTAAGAAAGAAAGGAAGGAAAGGAAGGAAATGAGGGAGGGAGGGAGGGAGGGAGGAAGGGAGGGAGGGAGGAAAGGAAGGAAAGGAAAGAAAGGAGGAAGGAAGGAAGGGAGGAAAGGGAGGAAGGAAGAAAGGAAGGAAGAAAAAAGCCCAAGATGCCTCAGAGAGGAGGACATCCAAAGAGGCCAAAGTGAATTTATCAAGAGTTGGGGTCTTTCAAGTTGAAGCAAAATCTGAAAAGTTAAACTGGTTCTAAGGGGCAGAGAATGCCAAGCCACAAGAAGACATCTGAAGGTTGTTTGTGTTTGTTGGGTGGGGTAAGTCCTGTGAAGGGTGTGTGTGTGTGTGTATGTGTGTGTGAGTCTGTGTGTGTGTATGTGTGTGTGGTGTGTGTGTGTGTGTGTGTGACTATGTGAAGCTTTGGAAGCAGCAGCATTTTTTCTCGTTGAAGTTCACACCTGTGCTTAGAAAAATAAACTGCACCCCTGCGTTCACTGCAGCATATTCACAAAAGCCAAGATATGGAAACCACCTAAGTGTCTATCAACAGAAGAATGGATGCAGATGTGTCTAGACATACAGGGTGGGGCAAAAGTAGGTTTACAGTTGTTCTTATGGAAAATACAATAATAAAATATAAGAATACACTGTACATTGTATAACATTGAAATATGCTTAGAGAGTAGAACTTAAATGTCTCTTTCTCATATATATGTATATATATATATGTATATACATATATATACACACACATATATATATATGTGTATATATATATACAGCAACCTAATAATAACTTTTCTTCACCTTTCTAAAGCAGAAAAAAGAACCTGACAATACTGATACATCAGATAGATAACAGGGAACTACCATTGAGGTAAAAAATAACATATGGGAGGAAGAAAAAAATATTTTCTTAGAAAAATTCTTCATAGGCATTTTCTTAGTTTAAGAAATATTTCTTTTAGAAGGAAACTACTGTAATTTTCCACTGAACCCAGAGCCTAGGAACTTAATGACAGACAGGAATCCAACAAGACAAGGCATGAATCGTGTTGAATTAATAATTCACACTCACCTTGGGGAAGTGTGTCTGAATTAGACTTTTGTAGCATGACTGCAAAATGCTTTTCTTTAAACAAACAAATATATTTATACAAGATATTTAGTGGGTCATATGGATTTCTCCTCTCTGGGAGTTTATAATCTCAACATTATTCATTGATTTCTTTATTTTCATGTTTTTATTTATTAAACAGATGGGGTGACATTGGTCAACATGAACATATAGGTTTCAGGTGTGGGTTTCTATGTTACAAGATCTGTATATTGCATCGTGTGCCCACCACCCATGATTTGATGTGAATCCCCATGCTTGGTCCCCATAGCTGGGAGGATGAATGAATACAGAAACCCCAAGGGATGATAACAGCTTCACATGGCATAGCCATTTTCACCTCTCAAACAAACTGCTGGATTTTTATCGCACACAAAAACCCATCTTTTCCATCTAAAAATGGAAATAGCTGGAAGAGGGCAAAGAAATGCAGTCCTACTGTACCCGGCCTCTCAGAAGCTCGTAGGCTGTCACTCCCAGGGACCACCAGTCCACAGCAAAGGAATAGCCGGCTTCTCTCCTCGAGCTGAACATCTCGGGTGCTGAAAGCACAGGAAAGTTAGGTCTGTTCTACTCCCCGAGACATTCACAAATCTGCTTTCCCAACAGGGTCCCCCAAAGGTGAGACACCAGGGTAGCAGGGAGGCGCGCTTGTATAGATGTCTATCATCCGTGGCTCGATTGCTCACAGCAGGCAGCATTTCTAATTTTCTGGTCTCTCTCAGAGGCCTCGTTCATCAACCAACACAACAGGTAGCCTCGGGCCTTCATGGACACATTCTTCTCTTATTTAGAACATGCAACCATGAGAAATTAGATCCCATCAGGCCTCAAATGTGTGGCTGCCCCTGAAACCAAGAAGGCGGAGATGACGTGTGTTGTCTTGACTTGGCAGGTTTGGGCTAAAGGGCTGCAATGTGTTGGCTCTCCATCTCCGTCATCTTGAAGAGGCAAGGGCAGCATTTGCACCTTGCTCTTGGGGGTGAGGGAGGGAGGGAAGAGGAGTGGACAGTCTGAGAGATATAATGTTTTATACAAACTGTGAGTCACTTACACTTTGTAACATCGTTCTGTGAATGGACTGCAGTGGAAGGCAGAGCTATAGTTTATTCTAAGGCCCCCAGTACCCATTCTCTAAGCACTTTGACACAAGGTGAACCTTCTACATTCTACATACTCTTCCAAGAATAGCCCTAACTCCTAGGGGTGGCGTAGGGAGAATGGAACACAAAGCAAAGGACGGTATCTTATCTGCTTGCTCACCACTACATTCCTAGTGCCCAGTATTGAGGCTGGCATTTAAAGTCACTCAAGACACATTGAGTGAATGAATGCTGCTGAATCAATTAATCAAGCAATGGTTGCAATTATTAGCCCTGGAGTTGTGCTGAGTTCAAAACTCGCCTTCATTGCTTATTATCTGTTGGCTGAGCTTGAGAATCCTCACCAGTCAAGTCAGAATAAGAAGGCAATCTTTCTGGAGGTGAGAAATTAAACGATGTAGTGCATGCCCAAATCTCAGCTCAGTGTTTGGCACCTAGAAAGTGCTCACAAAATTAGGTGCTCTTCTTGCCCTGGCGGGGTGGCTCGGTTGCTTGGAGCATCATCTCATACACCAAAAGGTTGTGGGTTTGATTACCAGTCAGGACACACACCTAGGTTGTGGGTTTGATCCCGAGTTAGGCTCATAAGGGAAGCGACAGATTGATGTTTCTCTCTCATATCCATGTTTCTCTCTTCTCTCTCTCTCTCTCTCTCTCTCCCCTCTACCTCCCTCAACCTCCCCTCTCACCACTTCCCTCTCTCTAAAATCAATAAACATATCTTTGAGTGAGGATTTAAAAAAGTACGCACTCTTTTAGAGAGGCAAACATAATAGTGGGAATTTTACCTAACCAAGAGCTACACACACTGGACCCTTCTCTGTAGTGAGCTGCGGACTCTGGACAAAGAATATTATTGGGTTGTGGGTCTGACTTGCCCTGCCCAGTGCCCTCGGGTCTGAGTACCATCTTATGGGCAGCATGCAGTGAGAGGTAGGATGCTGACATCCCAGCACTGAGCCTGACTGCACGAGCCCGCCATAGCAGGACCACACAGGCCTCCTTCCCGTGGGATTCACGGTTCATGCATCACTGCATCCTTTCTATAAGTCACAGTCCCTGTGCGATTTGGGAGGTAATGGCCCTGACCCCACGGTACCTCCCCAGACTGGATGGAATGGCCTATAGTTCTGCTTTCCTTTCTCAGTATCTCACAACAAGTCATCTCAGATAGTCCCCAGAGTGACTGACATCTCCCTTAGAGAAGCTGCAGAGAACTTTGAGGGATAAATAGACCATCGTGCTAAGAAAATACCTATCAGAATGGCATTACTCAATAAAAGCTGTGAATCCTGTCATCTTGGATCATCCTTGGAGTTTATATGAGCATATTTTCTTTTATTTTCTGCTTATTCTGTTTTCCAGCATGAGGACATTTGGATATGTGTTCATTCATTCAACAAATATTCACGGTGTGCTAGGCATTGAAGAATTTTGGTAGAACATGAAGAAAAACACATCAGGCCAACATGTAAAAGCACAATGGATGGGCAAGGCTTTGAGCCCTCAAATAGCTGAAAAACCAGACAAAGAATAATGAGGGGCTCTTGTCAGCCCTGCCAGAGGATCCCCTGCCCCTGAGAGGGTGCACACAGAGGTGGAGAGGGACACAACTTCCCTCAAACAGCCACTGGGTGCTTTGTTTGGTTTTTAAAGTATTTCAACCTACATTCAAAAAAGGAATTGAAACATAAAAGAACAACTTAACCAGTAGTTATAAGAAAATAACCAGGGGACCATTACACAGGTGACAAATAGAATCTTGACCCCGCCTTCATTCCTGTCCTGTTCACAACCCTAGAAGTAACCACTTTCTTGAATTTATGTTAGTAATTTTGTTCCCTTTCTACATAGATTTACTACCTTTACATGCATTTCTAAGCAATACTTAAGTTTT